TTACAAGAAAGTTACTAATTATTAAGTTACTACTTGTAGATTTATGTCTTACCTTTCAAATTCAATTAAAAAGAAAAAAGTGAAGAAAAACCTTCAAAAATTATTTTATAAAATTCTAAGAGGTTAAGCACTACTATTGGACATATTGACCTTTCCTCCACTAACCCAAAGCTGGGCCTCAAAATCTTTGGTCTGGTCAGAGTTCTGCCACAGTGTATTTTGGATAATACTTACTTAAACACCCCCAAAATCTTCCTGTACCTCAATGTGCTCTTTTAGTATCAAAATATCACAACCATCTTTTCTTCTTTGTCATTGACCTAAACACTCCATGGCCCATGCAGATCCCAACTGCTATGAAAAGGCATGTTTTATTGAAACCTAAACTCTTATGAAATAAAGAAAACATATTAATAATTCAAAACTTTGAAGATGATTTTTGAGTTATATAGTACTAACTATAACCTTTGTCCCATCAATGAGTAAACATGTTAAAACAGAACTGAGAGTTCTCTTGATATAGAGAAAACAGTAAACGAATCCCATTTTCTATTTTGAAAAGAAATACTTGCAGATGATGCAGAGACTATTGTTAACAACAAATTAGTTATGGCCCAATAGCTTGAAATGACACCACAGCTGTGAACCCCACCAGAAAAAAATACTATAAAGATGCAGGCACACATGATGCGGAAGAGTTGGCCCTCATGTGTTGTTAGAGACACTGAGAATAACTAAGAAGTTTAAAGAAAGTGGTCAACAGGTTCCAGGGCTGTGACAGATTAACAATTTCCTTCCCTATGTCAGGAGTAAGTATGAGTCTTCAGAAGACACCATTATAAGGAGCCCTTCATGATAAAAGCTACCACAATCACTGCCTTTGTTTTGTCCCTGTGTAGAGAATTCAGAGTACATGAAAGAGCTGTTGTATAAAATGCCTGGTTTGGTGTGAGAGGTGAAGAGTTTGTTTTCATGTGTTCTCATGTAGGAATCAATCTTCTGAAGAGCTATGCTTCCAAGCAGGACTGAATTTCAGAAAATAACCAACATAATAGTAATAGCCATTAGGGGATTGCACTAGAGATTCACACCAGGTGCAAAATTTAAAGGAGCACCAACAAAACTGAGCACTAAAAACACTTTAATGCAATTTTGAAAAATAAAATCAATGAAAAAGAACCAGCCATGAACCAAATAGCAAAATCTAAAAGTCAGATTGATTTTGTCCTGGCCTCAGATTCTTTGAGATTTCATGAAGTCAAGGTTTGGCAGCTTTCCTGAGCAGCACAATCTATCTGCAGTGACTGAAAGTGTCTGTTTTATTTTCTCTCTTAATTGCAAGCAAGATATCTGACCTAAGCTCTGTCAAGGGGATAAGGTGGGAGGTTTGTAGTTGTTTTTCATTATACAACAAATGTCACAAGGAAAAAATCATGGAAGTTCAATGGCTTGCATCCTCCTCCTAGGCTGCCTAGATTGTTATTCTAAAATGATCCCAGACTGGGAACCCAAAGACATTTGGACATATGTAGTCAAGGTCTACTCTTGTGCTCTATAGTTAGACGATGCCTCTACAGTGCCTCTGTGTGTGTACATTTTCTAATATATATATAATATATATATATTATATATTCTTATATAATTTCTCTTTCTTTTTTAATTTAAATAGAAACAAGCTATTTTACATGTCAACCCCAGTTCCTTCTCCATCATCTCCTCCCCTTCCTCACCCACAGACCCTTATCCCATCCCCTTTTAGCTCCCCAGGGAGGGTGAGGCCTTCAATGGGGGGATCTTTAAAGGCTGTCAAATCATTTGAAGCAGGGTCCAGGCCCTCCCCCCATGTGTCTAGCCTGACAGAGTATCCCTCTAAGTGGAATGGGCTCCAAAGTCCATTTGTATACTAGGGATAAATACTGGTCCACTACCAGAGGCCCCATAAACTGCCAGTCCTCCTAACTAACACCCACATTCAGGGTGTCTGGGTCAGTCCTATAGTGGCTTTCCAGCTATCAGACTAGGGTCCATGAGCTCCCCCTTGTTAAGGTCAGCTGTTTCTGTGGGTTTCTCCAGCCTGGTGTTTTTCTTTAGCTGTATTCATAACTACCCAGTTCTTATAGAAGAATCGAACAAAGTAGGCCTGGCTATTGTATTTCTCTTTTTCTTTTAATTCCTACCACATATATCATGAACTTCAGGGGCGGAGGGCAATTCTGGTCAAATGGTCTAAGTCACACTGGCTATTCAGTGGATGGGTTGATTGGATCAAGATGGCGACAGAGAGGGGCTGTTACAGACTGGGTAGGTTTTTTAAACAGGGTATGGATGAGGCATCCCTCTCTAGTGTGCCATAATTACATGTGTGCTTGTGATTAAAAATATGAAGGAAGCAGAGCAAATAACAAGTGCTAATGGAGTTCAGAGATCACCAAGGGCCAGAACTGTGTTAATTATATGCTACAAAAGCCTGCAATTATAAACCTATAGATAAGCAAATAAATGCTGTTGGTTCAGCAGATGAGACCAAGAAGTCATTTTTCTTTGGCCTTTGGTAAGTGCATACCAGGATAAATTATTTATTTCTAAATTCTCTTAGCGATTCACTAATATCTTCAACTATCCCTTCTACTAGTCCTGGAGATAACCACAGAATAAAGAGAGCAAGTAAACACCTTTGTTGGACTTTCATATTCATTACTTTCTGACTCTGGATGCTTATAACAAACAGGTCCTTCCATTGTGACTGGCTGACTCACACTGCAGAAAATTATGTCCCCACTGCATTTTTTTACTGGAGCGGTGGGGACATCTATTCCAGACACTCTGATGCCAGTGACAGTGATTGGCATTTCTTATCTACCTGCAGAGATGTCACAGGGAACATAACTATGAGGAATGACTAATATGCTGGCTGCAGATATTAGACCTTCTGAGGCTTAGGGCTAAGAAATCTTCAAGGAGAATGATGTATGTAGGGAGGAACCCTCACAAGGATTGTGGGCAGGCATGGTTACCAGAGACTAACATAAGGGGCTCAGTCTGCGGAGGATACACAAACCCTGCATGCCAAGTGTTGAAAGCTTTTCTTTCATTTGTTCAATAGCAGTGTTGGGGTTTGTAAACTAAAAATGAAGAATTACATAAAAATTTTTAGATCTCATGACAATCTAAAAATACTCAAAATACTCCAGGGTTTTCTTAAAGAGACAGAAAAATATATTTTTCTTGGTAAAGAAGAACAAATACTACCTGTTTACTCAGTGAACATTTATCTAGTTCCTAGCATAAGCATTCATATAGCTTGTGTAGCACTTATTATATATTGTACTGAAATCTAGGACTTTAATGAAGCTATTGGATGAAAAGCTTCAAAGATGAACCACCTTCTCACCACCGTTTTGATTTTGCTGTTTGCTTATAAGAGGACTTAGGCAAGGGTGCCATGCCTTAGTTTTTGTTTCTTCTCATTGATTCATGTCCACAGGCATCAAGTATTCTAACAGTCAAGAAAAGACTCTGAGTCAAAGATACCTAGTTTTTAGCATGTAACCATATAAAATAACACATAAACAAGGAAGAAAGGAATGGCAAATTGAACAGCAGAGTTACATGAATCTGTGACACCAGTAATTTATCTCTGCTTCCACAAGACTTTGGATGGTACATAATTAAGCATAGATAAGTAATTAATTCATGATTAAGGAACACTGAAGGTGACTAGAAGCAAGAAAAAAGAAGCATCTACTTCTAAAACACAATGTATTTCAACTTTCCCCAAATACTGAATTATTTAATTATTGAATAATGTAATAATATTATATAGACATAAAATTATTATAAAAATACAAGTGAAAGTTTAAAGAGTTCGGCTCTTGTTGGCAAAGTACAAGGTTTCGTTGTCTTGAATGGATTATGGTATTCAGAAAGTGAAGCATTTATCATTAGCTGAATACAATATAGCTATGATGTTTTTGAGGACACATATTAGTCAGCTTTGATTTTATTTTATTTTTTCTCTAAATATGGTACAAATGAACTAAAAAAAAATGGTAACATAATTTTCTTGGTCTGGAGAGTCAAATCAGCCTGAAAATTGAATCATTTCTCCTGTGCAAATAGGACACGGAGGTTACATCATCACGGAAATATTTTATATTCATTAACTCCTTTTTTCCAAGATCCTATGCTGGAAGTTTAGAACAGATTTCAGCAATGTTATAGCATGGAGATTCAGTGAGTTCTTTGAATAGTTACAAACTCTAAATTATATAGTAAGAAAATAGCATTCCTTATATTTTCCTATGTAGGGAGAGGGCTCAGTGAACTATAAATGTAACTAAATGTATTAGCTCTTATGGTAGTCTAAGATAGCTATTTCTTTATATTAAAGCTATAGTCATAAATTTTGTAAAAACTATATTTGAATTTTAGATCCTGTTTATATAACAAAAGTTGGCAGTACCTTAAACTAAATAATGTGTTTTTATCCTACATGAAAGGAACCCAAAGGCTATAATATTCCCACATGTCATCAGTGACATTGGCTCTAAGCCTCATCCTTTATGTTCAACTGCCTGTATAATTTACCTGTATCCTCTAGGTTGCTTTTGAAGTACCAGTCATCATATTGCTTTGAGTCTCAAGTTACAAGAGGGAGGAATTCAGTAGGAGATAACTAAAAAGATCCTAGCAAAATCAACTTCCCTGTCAGCAGCTTGTTCCGAATATTCTCTTCCCAGGTCACATTGTACTAAACATGTACGGTGCCATATCTGCTCACAACTGAGGCTAAGGAATAAAGTCAAAACATGTACAAATAAACCTATAAATGATGTGTGTTGTATTAAATGTAAGCAGCAAATTTGGTTTATACTAGGCTATAATGATAAAATGTCATGTAGTTGGGCTTTAACTTTTAAATACAGTGAAATACTACTAGCTACTTGATTGGTCCTTCTGTGTGCTAACTATGCATCTTTGTCTTCCTCTTGTATTACCAGGCCTCCGGAACCCGTTTACAGCACTGTGAACAAACTATGTGATAAGCCTGCTTCACCCAGGCACTATTCCCCTGTTGAGTGTGACAAAAGCTTCCTTCTCTCAGCTCCCTACCCCCACTACCATCTAGGCCTGCTCCCTGACTCTGACATGACCAGGTACTGCATGCGCTTCCTCACTTCATCTCCAGTTGCATTTGCCTCCACAAGGATGGGTGGGTGGAATTCGTCTCCACTCATTTATTTTTTGCATTCAGCACCTTCCTTGTGGGAGATGTTCAGCTTTCATGATACAATGGGAGCAATTAAGAACATTGTGTTTCTTTTTGTTTTGTTTTGTTTTCCTGCTGTTGTGCTCACAAAGCACTTTCAAACATGACCATGTAGAGCTCCATGTGTTCAATAAGTAAATAATTACATTGTTCCACCACTATTTCCTTCATTAGAGGGCTAAAAGAGAACATTTGCTGAGTATTCTAAATAATACTTAATAAATGTTCACTATGCCTCAGATACAATGGCCTAAATATGTACATGCTGTTATTGTCTTTTAACATGTCAGCTAAGATATTACATTAAAGTCGTCATATAGCTGGATTCCTGAGGAAATAACCAGTTTCCTAAAACTATAGAATTATTTGGTTCTATCTAATCACAGTGAACATGAACTGTATTTATACTTTGCTACTTGTTAGGATTTTACATATGTTCTTATTTAATTCATCCCTGTGTATGTAAAGATACAAAAGTCAAGGAAGGTTGGGTTGTGGGATGTCCCTCAGCATGATCTTGCCAGTAAATATACAGCTCGAATTTAACCTTAGAAGGTTCTGAGTTATTCCATGTTGAATCCAGCACTCAGGAAGCAGAGGCAGGAAGATTCCTGAGTTTGAGGCCAGCCTGGTCTACAGAGTGAGTTCCATAACAACTTTGCAAACAAATTCTTCTATGACTAAAGACTGAACACACATCTTCTTTTTAAAAAGCATGTGTATGAGACCGAAAAGCCCGTTACCAAACAGTAGCCAGAGCCACAGAGAAAGCAAGATAGGAAACATAAAATCTAGTGCTCCATGAAGTGCTTGAGATTCAGTCTAGATGGAGAGCCCAGTTGGAATATTCCCATGCAGAGTAAATGCTTATTTAATTATATTGCAGACTCAACATCTTCATAATGTTGTTAGGGCTAAGGAAAATACAAACAGATTTTAGAATAATTCAATGTGAAAATAAATATGTTGAAAGGATCTTCATTTAAGACATCTCTTTTTATGTTTTCAGGCAATCCACTTAAAAGTCAATTAGTGATCTCTAAGAAAACTAAATAGCAAGTTCTAGCTAGCGTTTCTAGAAAAAAGTGAGAAAATTTTGACTATCCCATCAGCTGGAAATTTTTCACTTATTGCAATAATTTAAGTTTAATAACTCTTTATAGTGATTTACAAATATTAATTAAATCCTACCTTTCTTAAATAATTCAAAAATGACTGTTTATTGGTGTGGTGACCTATACAGGTAAGAAACTCAAAACTGAGATTTCATAGACATGGGACAAAAGGAAGATATTTACCCTGTAGTAATTGTTTCCCTATGTTCAGCTACATTTGGGCAGCTCTACAAAGTGAACTCTTCTTTAGTCAAGCATTTGGCTAAAGCACTTCTTATGAATTATTTCCTTCAATCTGTAGAGTCAGATTATGAGAAATATGTGATCATCATTTTATTTTTCTAAATGAGGAAAGATAAAATTTGAGAAGTTACTTGCTTTGTTCCAGATCATCCACTAAATGACAGATCAGGGGTTCAAGCCCAAGGGACAGATGACCTGGCAGAACAGGATAAATGCAGCGACACATGCATAGTGTCACCACATCCTTGCTCACTGGAAACTTTCCAACCATTCAACTTTCATTTTTCTCTCTCTTAGTCTTTTTCTCACCGCTATTTTTCTGACTCAGCATTAGTGTATATACATATTTTTTTAATGAATGTGAGTTTTACATGGACTTCCATCCACTCCACTGGGATACATTCCTCCTTAAAAATTCACCAACTATTGGGGGGCCATTAACTCTAGTGAGAACCCATCAGATTAGTTCTTTTCTGTCTACTTGCTGTGATCACTATTATGAAGAAAAAAAAAAGACATTTTTTCTGTTTTTTTTTTTAAGATCAAAGCATTATGGTTTGATCAGTACTTCATTTCCAAATCACATTCCCTAGGCAGTTTTGATAAGCACCAGTCCCCAAACCACACCCACCTTCCTCATGACTTCAGGATTTCTATTTTCTGTTCCTTCTAATTCGATCTCCTTTCCCCCTTCTTTCATTTTACCACTACCTTTTCTTTTATCTCTCTAGAAAAAAAAAATATACACATATGTATATGTGCAGCCATTCTAGAGGCTTTTCTCAGCAACATACTGATACCAAAAGTATTCAAACCCACTTAGTTCCTCCTTCCTCAAACTCCAACTCAATGAATGACATCAACATTGGCCCAGTGGCTGAAATCAAAGATGTGAAAATGATACTTATCCCATCAGTCTTCCCACCTCCATCACTGCATCCATCTTCAAGTCCTATTGATTCTACCCTCAAAATAACACCTCAAGTCTATTTTCTTCCCTCTGTTTCTGTTTCTACAATCAAAGCCCATCATCTCCTTCCTACAATAGCTTTCTGATTGTTCTCCCCACTTCCCCTGTCAGCATTGTGAATGCAGCTAAAGTGATCTGTTAAAATAAAACAGATCATATCTCTCTCCTTTTGCATTTGCATTAGGATAAAATGCAAAGTCAGATTCTGCATGACCTAGCACCTGCCTGCCTTTTGAACACTTAATTTCACCACTTTTGCTGACCATGGTATTCACACTAGCATAGATTCCCTTCACAAAATGTGTTATATTCTACCTGTCTTGAGCATTCCCTGTGTGCTTTTCACTTTACTTGAAAGGCTTTTCTACACTTTACCTAATTAACTTCTGGTCATCTTAGATCCAAACTTAAATTACATTTGGTTAGAGAAACTCTCTGAAAGAAAAATCAGATCCCTATTTTACCCAACCCCTCTTTCACACACACATGCTCACATACACACACCTCTATATCTGTCCCTAAAAATTTAAGAATTGTACACTTTTATTTTATTTTGATAAATAGCAAATAAGTAAGCAAGGAAATATGATCTTCAGACAAGCAAACTGATAACTATTTCTGGACCAAGTTCTATTCAAGCTTGGTTTATTCAGTTCATAACAAATGCACAACACTATTCCATAATGTTTTAATTTACAGATGGAAACAGATCACAATGATGGAAACTCACTGTGTGTTACACTCCTACCTAAATTACTCAAGTGCTCGGTGTCCACATTACAGATCTATTAGGCAACTGTGGACTCTTCAGCAAGAGTGCCATGTTTATTTACTTCTCCACAGGGGAGCAACCTCCCCCAAGAAGATGTTTCTTGAAATGTAGCTAGTTTTTCATGAAAATTGTTCAAATATTCTGAATTCATGTTTTGTACTATATCTTACTTTTCCACTGTATCCTTAAATATGTCATATGCTCTTTTACAAAGAAATCAAATATGAAATCCCATCTCTAGGTTTGCCATGCCAAGGAACCTAGTCTATGACCTTCCTTAGTCTGTGTTTTAATGTTACTCATAATAACACTAAAACATGCTAGAATCTTCTACCTAAGAATAATATTGAAAGAATGCACCTACCTATTCATCCAACCAAGATGCATCAAGCTCTAGCCAAATGCAAAATACTATACTATAACAATGTTTTACTGACATGCTTGCTGAAAAGACCAACCAAAAGTACTGGAGGGAAACAAAGGTGTGACCTTTAAACTACAGCGACTTGTGGGATATATTTTTCAGAGTTTTTGAGAATTCCCCAGAGTCTGTTTGAAAAGTACATCCATATTGGTACAACAGTCACTGCCTCAAACCTCAGATTAATATTTACACTAGATCAGGGAAATTCAACCTATGAAACTACCCTTGTTTGTATCATTAATCCTGGATTGACACCCAGAAATATGGACATATTGACAAAACTAAGGAGAGTCCCTCCTTCTTTGTTGCCTGAGTTTCAGTGGAAACATCCTAGTTCCCTGTTCTTTGAACATATAATACATGAACAGGGATAAACTGAGTACATATCTTACTCTTAAACGATTATCTATAAGAAGTGTTATGTTTTCCTTGGGAAAGCCTTTGAAATTGCTTAGCACTCTGGCTAAAGATGCAGGTTATGTCTAAAGTAACTTTTCAGTTGATGCACAAAAAAAGAAATGAGTAGAGCCTGGAGTTAAACTAAAATGTGAAGTTCTATTTAAAAAAAAAAATGACATTGCTATTAGGCTTCTACTTATCTAGTACATCACTTTTTCTTTAGAGAAAAAAGAGTTTTTGATGTTGTAATTGGTTTTCTACTTTGAAAGATCAAGCTATTCCTTTTGATACTCCTAGGGCAATGTGAATGGTATTCCTGGCTGTCTTTTCCACATCTATGTAATATTTTCATGTGTTCTTTTTATAAAAAATGGTCTTCATTATTATTATTTTGCAGTTTAAAAGAGAGAGTGAGGCAAAACAGTTGATAGCCAATTAAAATGTGCTGGCAGATTTTGGATAAGAAATGGACTCAAAGTATCAAATGAATATAAAATACTTTCAGTTATTGAAGAGAATATATTCATGGAACTGTAACATGCCAGTTAGATCCTACATTTTGTGTTCAAAACTAGATAAGACATAGTCTCCTCCCTTAAATTCAGTGACAGACAAGTGATGTCGTTGTCACTGTGTAATATAAATCTGCTCATAGGCCTATTCTGCTAATGGACCTAATCTCTGTGGCTGGTTGGTTTTTTTTTTAATTTTTGAAATCAATTAAATTTAAAAGTCTATTTGCATGAAGAACAACTTATAAGTCAGGTTGCACTTGAGCTCAGAAGAGATTTAGCACTGAGGCTAGCAGGTCAGGTTTTAGAAACCTTAGCTACAAAAACAATTAAAAATAAACAGACTATGTTTCTAGTTTTCCTGAAATTATCAGAAGGACATTTAAATTGGAGAAGAAATGTGTTTGAAATAAAAGAAATAAGGCTATTCAAGTTGGAGTTATAGGTACCTG